GGGAACGAGGTGACGAATTTCTCGTTCTTTAGCCCTTTTGATTTTTAATATTTCTAATACCAATTCTGGAAGGCTCTGCGAGGATCGGTATGAGTGAATTGTCTCGTTATTTGCTGACTAGACATCTGCTTTTTTTTTTTTTTTTTAATAGAAAAATTGGGGAAGGAAAATAGTTGTTCATTATCCCTTTTAATGCCGGCCACAGTCGATAGCACTTGTAAAACGATGATATATCGTTGTCCGGCAATAAAAGGGTTAACCTTCTCTCTATTTTTTTTTTTTAAGTGTAATCTGGAACATGCATGTTGAACGGCGTAATAAATCGGAGACTGATTTTTATATTCGAGTTGCGATGACGGTCCGTTCCATAATCCCAATACGGTGCAGCATTGTACGATGTGTAGTCGGTCTGATACCATGGGCCATTCATAACCGGCGATAATGCGTCGCTCTCCTGCTCTACGGGTGGTATCTCTGTCTCCGTCTAACTCACGCCGTCCACCTCGTCGCCTCTCTCTCGCTCCCGCGCCTCGCGGACGGGCCGAACCGAGCGCCGCTCCCTTCCGAGGCCCCTGCTCTCCACCCCCGCTCTTCAAAGGGTTCGTTTGGGCGAGATTTACCGTCGCGGGCCTGAAAGCATAATAAAGTACAATTAGAATCTCCGCTGATCTCCGGTAAAGGACAATTGCGGCGTGGAAAAGCGAAAACTCAAAGTGAAACCGGGATCCAATATGGCGGCGCGCCGGTCAGCCACTTCGACTCTTTCAGCCCGCTCGAATTCCCCGCGGGAGCGTCCGGCTTTTTCGGAATTTCGACAAGCGGAATACCGCTTATGTGGTTTCGACGAGGAATCACGGGGGAAGCCAGAGGTAAAAAGCTGGAATGACCGTGAATCGGGACGCGAGGTTGCCGGGCGGCGGATAGAGAGCGGCCATTTTGGATTCGGGCGTATGTAGGCGGATTAGAGTTATTTCAGGGAAATTCTCCTCGATTTCCTCGATTCGCGTCGAAAGGGCTATCGCCGCGAACGAGGGGCCGCAAAAAGGGACCGCCGGGGCGAGGAGGGCGATAATATAAACGGCGATAACGAACGGCGATTCGCGAATGGCCGCGCGTGGTTAACCGACGCGCCGGCGTCGGTCTCGGCCAGGCGGAGGGACAAATAGGGGGAATTAAAAGTAATCACGCGCCCGTTTACGCGGCTGTGACAAGGCCCGGCGCAAAAGTGAACCCTGCGGGAAATAAAACTCGTAATAGTAATTCACGCCCGTTGTTCGGCATCGAATTCTCGAATTCTCTGTAAATCCAAGATGGCGGCTGGCCGCGTCACGGGGTCGTGCGGAGCGCGCTCTCGCGTGAACGCGGCGCGCTCTCGCGGCCGGCCCCGCACCTGGCGCGCGAGTCTCGCGATTACATATCATTATTCCGCCTGGCCGATCGAGCTCGAGAGGTTCGAGCCCTCCCCTAAACCTCGGTGTTTGCAGCCGGATTACCGTTGTCGGCCGGCCGTGTTTGCTCGGGCCTAAGTTTCCGCTCCGTGGCCCTAAGCGAGTCTCTCCTTCTCTATCTCCATCCTACGAATTTTCCCCCCTTCCCTCGAACGCATTCTTTCCCCCTGCGGCACGCAAAGTGGTCATCCCAGTAACGACAGCGGTTATCGGAGTTCCCGGCATCCCCCGGAAGGTTCTCGAAGTCGATTCCCTTTCGGTCCGGGCAGTCAGTCGTTAATCCGTTATCGGGCCGGATCCCGTTCCGAGTGACGGAGACCGAGATACGGGCAGGCGGGCGGGAGCGAGAGAGACATCTCAATTCGCGATTGCGGTTCGCCGGTCGTTCGGGGGCGGGGATAGGGGCGACAGCGCGTCCAGCGCCCCGGCGTGCGGTGGCGCGGCCCGACAGTCGAGCGAGAGCTGGCCAACAATGTACTAGTCGACATACCACTCCCGGCCGCCCCCTCCCCTCGTCGGCGGCGGAGGTTAGAGTCGCCACTATTAGATTGAGGTTCGGCGGTCGGCACCCGCCATCGCATCGGTTTACAATATCGTAAATCGCTCGCTAACCACCGGCCAACCGGTATGCCGGGAATTCGGCTGGTCGGTTCTCTCTGCCGCCCCCCTCGTGTCTCTCTCCGCCTCCCTTTCTCTCCTGCCCCTGGCACTGGTCGCCTCGTCTCTCTCCGCCTTATGGCCGATATGCGGGCGCGAGAGAGAGGTGGATACCACCACGCTCCGCGCGGCGAAATTCACCCTCTCGACAATGCACCCCGCCGCGGCGGCGAACTTACGGCTCGGAAGCCGAACACCGGAACTCCGGGGAATGCCGAATCCTTTAGCTAGTACCGTTGGCCTTCCTCTAGGGAGGAGAGGTCCTGCTAGGCGCGATCGAAAATCGAGAAAGGGAAAGAGTCTCCCGCGCGCTTAGGATCTTGGGAGACCACGTGACTCGCCGCCATCTTGGAAGCCGAGAGTCACGTGGGCCCGCACGACTACGACCTTTGGAAACTGACAGTGCGAGGATTGTGAGTCTCTTTCGTTCTTAGTTTTTGGATTTCCGGGGAAAATCGGGATTCTTATGTTTAGATGGAACCCGGGGGGCTTTTGTTAGAGACGATCGTCTCGTTTTCTGTTCGTGGGAGAGGCGATGCGCTCAACGCCATTGCTACGCCTCCCCTGTCACACCCCGGAACACTCGCGCGGCGTAATTACTCTCTTTGTCTCGGACGATTTATATTAAAATGAAAAGCAATCTGCATTCGCAAATTGAATGCGCGGACGCGCGGTATCCGGCCCCGGATTATCCGTCCCGGGGAGAGGAGGGGTGTCGGCAAAATCGAGCCGAAGCCGCCGCGGCGTTAATTGCGCGGCGCCGGTAATCCGTTGCGCCGCCGCAACTACCGCCTTTATACCCGATTTTAATAAACCGCTCGACCCGCATTACCCGCGAAAAAGTTCACGGCTCGTTTTCAACTCGGCGAATTTCTTTTTATCCGCGCGAATTTCCCGCGGAACCTTGGCCTCGAGGTGGGCGTTGGGAATTTCACGAGATCCCATTTATTCCCATTTTCGGTCGGATTTTTAAATTTCATCTTAAATTTCGCCCCGCGGATTATTTCTTTCGATAGTATATTTCGTTCAAATCGGGCACCGTGAATTTCTTTTATGAATTCTCGATCTAGGAATACTCGTTGAGAAGTGATCAATTCGTAAAGATGGAGACTGTCTGTAATGCCGTTGAAAAGCACGAATCGGAGAAAGGCATTTCGTTGAGAATTTGCTGCGCATAAGGTGGACCTCCGGAAGGAGAGGTGCAGTACGCGGTTGTTACTTGACACAATCATCCGGCCGAAGTCCACCTCGATTCCTTGAGGCGCACCTGACGTCGCCGGGCGATGCATCATTAGGGGACGTGCCTCGAACGACAAACAGTTGCACCTCGCTATCGAATATTCGACTCGTCGGGGACAAAAGGAAACGCGATCTCGTGGAATTCCACGCACTGTTTACTGTAGGAAAATAAGTACGCACTTATTAAAGGAATCTCGTTTCTAATCAATTTCCGTACGGATTTTTTAGCGCGGCTTTACGGGTCGCCCTCGGGAAAGAAACTCTTTTTAATTCCGCGGCAAATATTCGATTCGCGGATCTCGGGAACGAAGGGACCCGGAGATTACATCCACTGTTGGCTCGAGGAAAATAATTCCGTATTTATAGGAAACGGCGGGATATCATTTTTAACCAATTTTCCCGGATTTTTTAGACCAGGTTTAAGGGCCGCGCGCGGTTGCGGCGGGACGGGCGGGGAAGGGAGATAAAAAAAAAACCGCCGGCGATTTACGACGGTAGACACATAAACTTTTGGCGCTTTTAATGGCCGGCATTATTTCCCGGGCTCCCCTTCTTTCCGTTTTTTCGCTTTTCCTTTCCGCCCTCTTTTTCCCTTTTCGAGGCCTCCCATTGTTTCCGCGCTCTCGGCCGGAGGAAGATTTTCCGCTCGGCTCGAATTACTCCTTCCTGCGTAAACGCGGAAAATCCATTCCCGCGATCCTCTCGCCGCGGCCGTTCCGCGCGTCGAACCGCGGCGATTTCACCGGACGTTGCGAGCCGCCGCGGGAGGAAAGTGCGGAAATTTCGGGCCCCGAATGGCGGGACAAGGGGGCGAGCGGGAAAAAAGGAAAATGATACGCGGAACGCCGAGGCCGAAAACGGGTGAATTCCGCCGCGCGACCGCGAGGCCCTCCGCTCGCGGAATATCGGAAAACGCTCCGGCCGGAAGTTATAGCGCGGAGTGTCGCGGCCGACTTTCCCGCCGGACGAGTTTATTTGTCCTGAAAAAACTGTTATTTCGTGAATTAATTCCCTCGTTAATCCGCCGATTTACGCCGGCCGTTGAGCGATAGCGCCACGGGAAAGGACCGCCATGGAAAAGCAAAAACCCCATAAAAGGGACAGCTTATTTCCGCGGAAAAGGCTCGCTTATAATTATTTTGTCGCACTTTAACCCGTTAAGCTGGGTCCGTACAAATATAAAAAATTACACGCGATATGAAGGACGTAGTACACGTACCGTGAATACCCTGATAAAAATCTACGAAAAATTTTCATACATTTTTACATACCTCATAAATGGTGACTCAGATCGTGACTTTACAGGGACAATGTGATTTTATTGGAATTCATTGTGTCATCGAAATAACCGATGATTATGTAAATTTACATCGGCATTTTTATCAGGGTTCATGATATGAATGAATATGAATATAAAAATATCGAGATGGAAAAATTCTTTTATGACCTGCTCTGGGGTGTACTCAACAGGTCAGGCAGATTGTTGGAATGATGTAACGAGTAATTTTTTTTATTCTCGTATGACCCCAGCCTTCGTTACCGGGCACAAGTCGTTAATCGAGCCGACTAACGGGTTGAGCAATTATTGATTAGCGATCGGCGAGACTTTATTTCATGACATGTCTATTATATGTGCGATAACTGTCTGCATTGTAGGTGCACCCACGTCGCCGTCATCCTGACCTGCCCGAGAAATCCTCATGAAAGACTGGGAACTCAGTACTCAGAATAGCATCGGTATTGTAGAACATTTTCTTTTTTCGTTTTTGCCATTGCCTAACACTCTGTCTCTCTGCCTCTTTCTCTTTCTCTCTCTCTCTTTCTGCGTTTCATTGCCTCTCACATCCGGCGCAAACCTCGGTCTCGCTCTTTTTCCTACGGCTCGGTTTAACAATTTCTCATATTTCTCATATTTCTCATATTTTCCATATTTTCCATATTTTCCGGATCCTCTGCGAGCGGAGCACCGGTGGTAGTGAAAATACCACGTTTGAAGTACGAGTTAGAGGAGAGGAAGATTCTCTCTTTTTATTCGATGTTCCTTCGGTATCGATTAAATGAGTGGAACCGACATTTCGCCGGGCGATAGAATAATCCAATATGGTGGCGATCCGGGGAAATCCGGGAACGACGCCGTAGCCGGTCGTTTCCGTCGGAGGTGCACTTACCCGTGCGAATTCGCAATTGCAAACCGAATGCGCAACGGCGGCGCGTAATCCCTTCGGTGCATCGCCCACGGCCGACTCTCTCCCTTCCCTAGCGTTCATGTGAACATACGTACACAGATACGTATAAAGGACTCGCTAGGAGCATAATAATGGCCGATTGTGTCGTTACATAAATGCAAATCGGTAATGAGAGTTGCGCCGTGGGGTCGCGGGTGCGCGCGCATCGGCCGACCGGGAGGATTCCTGCAATCCGCGATAACGCGTAATCGCGCCCCCCGCGGCGTTAACGAGCGCGATTTCCCGAAACGACGCGGCTGAGTAATCCGCCGATTAATCCTGAATCGTAACGCGAGGGAGAAAGGACGAGGTCGAGGAAGGCTCGCAACTATCGACTCTAACTGCGAGTTTCTATATTTTACGTATTCTTCGGACTGCATCCCTTTCTTTTTACGATTTTAAGTCGACGAGGCGAGAGGTTAGGACGAAACGTGGCGGCGCGTCGGAGTCGTCGACACCGCTCGGATCGATATATCGACATATCTCGACCGGTTCGATCATCAGGAGCGGATCGAGTCGCGCCGGTCGGGAGCGCGTCGACCCTGCAAATCGATCCTGCCGGCCGATAACGATTACCTCTCCCGTCTCCGTCTGTCTCTCTCCCCTCTCTCTCCCCCGCTGCCCCTTTCCCCTGGGTTACGCGCTGCCGGTACAGGGGAAAAGCGAGCGCTAATCGGCGCGCGCGCTGTCGGCTCCAGGGGAAAGCGCGCGATCCGAGTCCGCGGCCGCGGAAACCGGCCGACCAATTAGCGGCACGCATTCGGCGGCCGACCGCCGACCCGACCGGACCTGCCGGATCGGCGGATGATAGATATTAAATCGACGTGTATATATATACGCTGAGAAAAGAATTCATCAAATAGAGGAAATATTTCTATTTATTCTATTATTATTGTCGAGTCAAATAATTATTCTTTGGATTAATAAAATATTTCTCTCGCTCGATGAGATCTCTTTTTCACGGTGTACCGGTAAGGAGGCTTTGGAGAACCGTAAAAGTGGGCTCGGATTTCCGCCCGGGTAAAAAATGTGACTTTTTGGAATACCGCGGAGGGGGTTGCCTAACGAGGAGAATCTCGCTCGCCGCGAGGCCAATTCCAGCGGCGATCGAAATGCTCGGCATTTCGCCGGGCCGCCGGGCGATAATAATTTATTTGCAATTCCTGGAGTTGTCTCTCTCTCTCTCTCTCTCTCTCTCTCCGTGCGCTCGGTGTCCGCGTGTCGCAATGTCCCCTTAACGGCCTAACGGCTGCTGGAGAACCGGTCGACCTCGATATATGCCGAGCGACCGAGCCGCGCCGTTTACGCGCCTCGACTCGCTCGGCGACGCTTAGATTCGCTCAAACGCCGCCGGAGATTCTCTCCTCTCCCGATGTAGTCGCCACCGGTGTTACGAAATCCCATGCAGGGTGTAGAAACGATCCTCTGTCAAGGATGCACTTTCCCCGACGCGAGTTGTTCACCAGGAGAGCAGTCTCCACGGGTCCATTATCACCCTTAAGAAAAAGATACGAACCAAAGGAATATTTCTTTGAATAGTACCTGTAGTAACATCGTAATAGGTAACCGAGAAAAATTTCGCGATAAGTCGATAGCCTTTCAGAAAATCCAAGATGGCGGCCGATGCTCGAAAGTCCCTCGTCCGGTTTTCAGGGTATGCCTAGGGTTGTTACGCGGGGTAGGTGCGAGCGTCTTAACTCTCGGTTCGCCACCTAACCTCTATCTTCTTTCTTCGTATACTTTATGGATATGCAGTCGGGGTGAGCTTGAGGGAGAGTCTGGGTAATCGGATACGGTGAAACTCCTCCGGTCGAAATTCGGTTAGGTGAAAACGCGCGAGTGCAATTTCCGGAGCGCGGCGGCCGCTCGTAACGACCGCGCGGCGGACCCAGGGAGAAATCGCGACCTAGTCCGCGATCGCTGCCGCGATTACGACGGTCTTACCGGCGCGGTAATGGTCACGGGAATAATTTCCCCGCGCGCGGCGATATATATCTGACGCCGCAATCTGTTACGTATCGGAGTTCGCGGCCGCGGTGCGTTGCGCCCAACAATGATGGATCGGTACGACACGCTCGGATTAACGGAAGAGAAGGCGCGGCGTGCGCTCCCGCGGTCCGATTTCCCGATTTTTCAACGATGTCTCGATCATCCGCGGATTACCGAACGCTGACGAGAGCGGCCGCGTATCGCCGCACACCCGCGGTCTTTCGTTACACAACATTATGAAATTCATAGATAACCGCCGGCCGCGGTGCGGTGCGCGAAACTTCGGAACTCGACTCCGCGGACGTATTAACGTCGATAGGAATAGTTTTTAATTAATATTTCGCGCCTTATTCAATTCTATGACGCTCGAGTACGATCGCGATTCCCGCGGCCAAGATGGCGGCCGGGCGGCGCGCGCTGATTGGCCGGGGGTCACGTGACCCGGTTACGTGGACCCGCGGGCCGCCGCGGGCGCGGCGCTCCCTCAACGCTTTATTTCCCCGCTGTCCGCCAGCGGACGACGTCGTTCGGACGGCCTGTCGGCGGACCTCCACTGGTTAATCGGCGTGCGCGTCTATTAGATTCCTATCTCTGCCACGCCATTTCCCTCTCTCCCTCTATATACGCATATATATATATTTTTTTTTTTCGCTGCGAATTTTCTTTTGAGATATTTGCATGCCTAGCTAATTAACCCGTTTTATTATTTAACGTTTAGTATGCTGAGGAAAAAAAAATGTATCAAACCTAAGTGATATATTTTTCATTCGTGGAATTATTATTTGAATTTTCAACGTATTTCTGTGGTACTGTTTGAAGAAATATATCTCGCTGTCTCGGTGAATGTTTTTTTTTTCACTCTTTTGAATATATCCGATTATTGAACGATTCAGGGTTGCTGTGTGTTTAGAGTCTCTCTCTCGCGCGCGACACCTTTCACGTTGCAAAATCAATCCAGACGGCTCGTGGGCGTCGGGGAGATATACGGATAGACGGTGCGGGGAGAGAGAGGGAGAATGAGCGAAAGCCGCGACGCTGATTGGCTGCCGGCACGTCGGCTGCGAAGACTTTCGTACATTCGCGATATTCGTCGGTTACGCGCGCACCGCCGCCGGCGTCCGGATGCCGGGCGCGTTTACATGAAAGCTTATCCGGCGAAATTCGCCGGAAACCCGGCCGCGACCCACCTGCAGCTTCCCTTCTCGCGTTCTCCCTCTCTGTCTCTCTCGGTCCCTCTCTAACCGAATTAACCGGCGCCGGGTCGCGATATATTACTCGGCGGTGTCTCCCGCAATTTACGCGCGATTATGCGGACGCGCCCGAAACGTTGCCCGGTGACTCGCCTCGACCCTGAAAAAAAAAGGAATAAAAAAAGAAAGAAAAAAAAAAATGCCACCTCATATTCCTCCAGCAAGTTCTCCTTCGGACAAGTCACGCTAATTTCCAAACGCTTCCAAGTAACGTTTCTCTACCGCGTTATAAATATAGTACACGCGTATTGCTCTCGCTGAGTATTAAAGCGATGGAAGGTTCACCAATATTCCTAGGTTAACTTCATTGCGTTTCAGTGGCGCGATTGCGTGTACATTTGAAATCGTTGCGCGTTTCCTCGCCGGGACTTTTCTTCTTTTTTTTTTTCTTTTTTTCTTCTTTCAAGATGGCTGCGGTCGGTGGCGATTACCGTTCAATAAGACGTCGCGGAGATAGAGGCAGGTCGAGTGGCACGATAACGGGAGCGGTCTCTTCTCGGAAAGGTGAGACTATTCCGAGACCGTCCCGCGGATACGCGATACGCTTCTTTCGTTTTGCCCCTCTCCCTCTCTTTTCGAGGCGTCTTCTCGGCGAGGGGGAGAGAGACGGACTTACGGCCGCTAAGGGGAGGGACGGAGAGGGAGACACCGCAACGGTACTCCCCGGCGCGCGCCATCTACCCGTCGCGGTAATAATTACCGCGACTCTGGACCACCGGAAGCGGTAAATTAGCCGGCTGCCCCCCCGAGCCGTGATTTTTCTATTAATATTCCACCGAGCCGCGGAGAGCCGAGCACCGCCGAGTGTCCATTAGTGCTTCCGAGAATCGGGCACGCGCGTGCACTTTCTCCCCCTCCCGTGAAGTGGTCCCTCCTCTCCTCGCCCCGAAGGCTTACTCTCGTATTCGCGTGATCTCCCGGCTTTCCGGCTCGTATCTCGTTTTTTTTTCCCTCCTCCTTTTCTTCTCTTATATACAGGTTCTCGTTATAACTACCCGCGAATTTTCAGTTTCTTCTTTTATTTTTTATTTTCTTTTTTCGCTCTCGGTAAACCTAGGTATATCGTTTGCGTGATCTGTCGACGGGCGAGATGGAGGGTTCCGGGATTCGGGTTATCGGCCGACGGGGGGTCTGATAAGAGGGTCCGTTGCGCAAGGCCCGGTCGCGGCTCATTGAGTCCCGCTCGCAGGTGGCGGGTCGTTCTTCCGGCAGAGCCGGACTTTCCGCTCGGCCGGCCACGCGATTGGCTGCCGGGTCACCGGGGTCCCCGCGG